GACAAAATGCCGGAAAACAAAGCAAATAAAGTGGCAGAGCGCATGCCAGAATAATTGCAAGGTAGTATGTCCATAAATATTTCCAGATGAAAAATCAAACCTTTTCAAATAAGCGTGTCAGGCTTGGGGATTCGATTTTTTTTTGGGGGGTTTTGTGCCTTCATGGGCCAATGAGGTGGTTATTGCATTTTTGGGCTCACCTTCTGGCTGTATTGGCCGTGTTGGAATTTCATTTTTTTTTAAAGTGCCAGGAGTGGTGCATGAAACATCTCATGGTTGAATATCGCGCAGCAGACATCAAATTACTTTTTCCCCGTCAGCCAAAATTTTGTGAACATGCAGGTGGGGGACGACCCAATGATAGCAAAGTAGATAATTTATTTCATCAAACGGCATTTTGCGCGCACATTGAAACAACCAATGGTTTGCCATGTATCGAATTTATGCTTGAAAATCAAGGCAGTTAATCGAACAATTTTTCATATTTTGGAACCACGCATGTTAAACGATTCTTGTCACTCGTTCATAGTTGGACGTTGCAGTATTTAGGATGTGTGTCAATGTGTGTCACGATGGAGTTGGCTCCGCGGGAACGATGTAGAACGGGAAAGCCTTCCACTTCTGGAGGGCACATCTGGATGGTATTATGCACGCCGACTGCCTATGTTTTAAACCCTACGAAATTTTGCATGCATACATTTTGGAATGGCAATGGTTTTTCATGTGCCGGGAGTGATGCATGAAAAATCTCGTGGTTGAATATCGCGCAGAAAACATCAAGTGAAATTTTCCCTGCCAATTATATAAAACAATGTAAACATGTAAGCCGTGGACGGCCCATAGAACGCAAAACAGATGATTTGTGCTTCATCAAACTACATTTTGCATGAAAATCAAAACGACCAATGGTTTGCCATGTGTGCAATTTAGAAATTAAAAGCAGTGAAACCAACAACTTCACATATTGGATGTTGCACCATTTAGTATGCGTGTCGCGATGGAGCTGGCTCTGCGGGAATAATGTGGAACGGGAAAACTTTCCACTTCTAGAGGGCACATCGAATGGTATTATGCACGCCGACTGCATGTGCTTTCAGGCGTATGAAAATTTGCAAGTTCAGGTTATCGATCATATGGTCCACTGGAATGGGTGTCAGCGACGGAAAATTTCGAACCGCATGTGTTTGTCAATGGTTGATGGCATCAAGCGGGTATGCGATTTGCATGTTGTCTCCCGGGGGCAATGCCACCGCACCAGAGCCTCTTGTGCAATGGCGTTGCTGGCGGTTCGACTTTGAGATCATCCGGCAAACCTGCCGCCGCTGCAGTGCATGCGCAGCAGCTAAAACCACAAACGGGGCGGAAGCAGAACCATGGTTTGACAGGCGTGAAATTTCCCAAAATCAACCGTTTTTGTTTAATGTTTCACCCATGTATGAACAATGCCCACACTATGCGCATAAAACCATAAACTTTTGCTGTGCACATATATGTATGTATATATATATAAATAAATAAATGTAAAAATAAATAAATATGTATATTTATATGCATTAAAGGGTTAGCAATAATTATTGGTGTATCACATTTGGACATGTCGATGCGGGTAAATTTATACGGAATTTTCAGCAAACTGCGTGTTTTGAACGACGTGATGGCCACCTGCCAGCATCATCGTAGTGTAGAGCCGGGCAAGGGTTGGAGGCAACCATTTCCCATTAGCAAAGCAGGGTCATGACATTTTTTTTCCGGATGTGAAAAATTCCCGCCAATCTCTTTGGGTTACTGTGCTATGGAGGCGCCACTGCTGCCATCACAGCAGCTGTGGCAAGACGGTCGTTTCGACGGACGCGTGCTGTCAAGGCAAAAGCCGAGTGCGTGCAGTGGTTCTTATGAAAGATGGTGATTGATATTCTGAGGATGATTGGGCATGAGTTGTCTCGTCTCCTACCCGCAATGCGCCGCAATGTAGCCCCTATGTACATCTCCCACACTGATTTCCCACCCCCCACACGGTTTCGGGTCACTTTACTTGCTGGTTAAATGAAATTTTTGTTTACTGGTTGTTGACCTTGAGAATCAACAAAGCACGGCTCCAAACACAGCGCGACCATCGCCCCGCAGGTTGACGCTGGCGTGGAGCAGACCCAGGTGCTTCCGACATTCAGCGTGTTGGACGCTTTGGACTCGCCGTTTCCGCTGGCGTCATTTGAGGCGCGTAAATGGGTTGTGGTTGAAGACCCAACAAAACATGGGAAGTCAACCCGCAAAAATACATAGAAATACGGATTCAAACTATAAACTCATCATATTGTAGGTGAAATGCAGTTTTATCTATATAGGTCGTTGCTGCCGTCCCATATTTGCAATTGCGGGAGAATTTTCGAGGTTCGATTTTGAACTCTTCACGCCTGTGAATTCTTCAAAATTGCGACCGCTATTTGGATCATCGTGTTGGCTTTGATGCCTTTTTTTTCTATTCTCTTAAATTAAATCCCGAGGTGGGTTATGGCAAACATCGATTTGCCAGAACACAACGCAATTATGTTTGAATCCACAGTTTTTTTTTTAAAATTAAATTGCAATATAAGTATATACATATATAAAAAAACAAAGAGAGAGAGAGAGAGATATATATATATATATATAATTTAAATGAACAAATACAAGGATAAATAAATAAGTGAATAAATAAATTTGAAAAAATAAATAAATAGATAAAACACATAAATATATAATACACAACTAGTTGAAAAACAAACTCATATTGTGGTATATCACATGATACTCACAATACACATATGTTATCCGAATATGATTGTTTTTTGAAACAAACTTTTAGAGGTTGCTTACCCTCCGGTAGTCACACATGGTAATTTTCCCTATACATAGGTATTTTAATGTGAACATGCTTGACTACCAGCGGACTTTTTGTGTGCCAGTTTTTTCTTTTAATTTATATATACATAGGTATACAACACATATCCCAGTATATCCACAATATATATGATATGATATGATATGATATGATATGATATGATATGATATGATATGATATGATATGATATGATATGATATGATATGATATGATATGATCTGATATGATATGATATGATATGATATATTGCCCCTGCTATGGTTGGTTTTATGCACCCATTTGTTTGTGAGTCAAATCCATTATTTGTTGGTTGATGGCCGTTGCTAACTTGCGCACGTCCCAGCTTTATGCCTCGTCAAGGCTTCAGGTTTGCCAAGTTCATCGCGCTTTTGCTGGTGGGAAAGCACTCGCCAGGTGCTGCGGTGGTGTTGCTGAAAGGGGTGGACGCGCAAAATTTGCCATTTGATAAGGGGAAAACGATGATTGAGCAGTGGAGTAATGGGTAATTACCACTATGTACATTTCTTAAACCAATTTTTGGAATCTAGCCCCTAGAATCAATCAATTTTCACCACAACCTGATTGGCAGACGTCCCCGTAGATGATTGCTTTTACGTGGGGAACTGTCCCAAATTTTCAATGTGACCTTACTTCAATGTGGTAAATGATTGCAATTCATCCAGATGGGCAGACGTCCCCGTAGATGATTGCTTTTACGTGGGGAACTGTCCCAAATTTTCAATGTGACCTTACTTCAATGTGGTAAATGATTGCAATTCATCCAGATGCCCCAAGATTCTGTTGCTGTGGGCCACTGATGTATTGAAATGCGTAAAATGGATGCTTTCGTGTTCCTTTGGTGTGACCAAGCTGAGGTTTAGATGTGATTCCCTTGTATTTTGTTGTGTTTCACTTGGTGGATGCTGTCACAATGGGTTTGTGTCACCATCCTGCTTTGTTCATGTACTGGATTGAAGATCACAAGTGAGATTACACTTCAAATGTGTTTTCTCCAAACCAAACCACTCTCAGGCACCTTCACTGCCCATAGTTGCTCGCAATTTCACATGACGATGGTGTAAATTTTGACTGCGCCAAGATAGCTTTTGATGGAATCTACATTCTTAGCCGATTTACTTTTTGTGAAACAAAACTTACTTTGAAACCCACCCAACGTGGGAAGTGGCGCCAACAGGGCAACTTTGGACACGCCGCTATGCCGCTATGCCGGTAACGTCACTTTCATTTGCTCCGGGACTTTGCAGTTGAACAGCCCTATAGGAACACACAGCGTTCAAATGTTAGTACATAGCGGGGCCGCACCAATTCTCCAAGAACATGTGGGATCCATTTCTTAGACATATTCTCTCTTCAAAAAGTTAATCGGTTTAAGATTTGATGCTTGTGAAAAAAAGTCTCTGCAATCGCAGAACATTTATTGGGCAGCTGCATCCTTTTGTTTCCCTGCTGCTGTGACCAGCATGGAGAGACCGGCCCCAAAGCCTTTGCTGCGTCTGGCTTGAGGGGGAGGGTAGGGTCTGTAGACTCAAAGCCTACGACATTTCATTGGCTGGATTAAAAAAGAGTGAACAGTTAGTGAACAGTTTTCTGCTCTAAACTTGGGGCCGTCTTCCAGAACATACTCTGAAACCAAATCTGGGAATGTTTCATGATTCTCTTGACTCGGCCTGTGCCTGTCTTGTTGGGACATGATGGTCCTTCCAATGGTGTCATTGGCAAGATTGGGTTTGTCTTGCCACATCACCGGGGGTGTGGATGTGGCATGTGCTTCCCTACTTACCCTTGGCGTACCATCTGGTAAACATACAAAAAACTATGGAACATCACCATTTTTCATGGGTAAACCCACTATACATGGCAGCTTTTTGTACGCTTACCTTTGGGGTTACAGCCTTATTTCCTGGCGCGGGTCCATTGAAATGACTCCCCAACATATTCCATTGACTAGGGGAAAATCCACAAATGATGGTAGGGGGATCATACCCAGTTTCACTTCTCAGGTTTGTTACTCGTTCACAGATCATAGTCTGCACAGGGCTACCATGTTTGCACGGGATCCCCAATTCTTTGTCAGATCCACATCAGTCATCATCCCCCGCAGATGTCATTTTCGGTATCGATCCCCGTTCTGAGGTGGGCGACCTCTCTTCCAACTTCTCCATGCACGACGGTCACGCGTTTCCAGCAGTTCCAGGCTGATGCTTCAGGTGCGGGATGGGATCATTAGGATCCAAAAGTCTAAGCGCTGGGTTGGGGGTTTGCGATGTGTTGTTTTGAACCATTTAATCCATTCCCATATTATCCCTTATTTGCAATCATAGCACCCTTTAGAAAGATGCCTAAAAATTGGAAATCTGAAAATGATGCGGAAGACATCATCGAACTTACCATTTCCATCTTTCTGAGGGACTTACTGTTGAAAGCAATGGCCCAATTTGTGGGTTCTTCTCCTAGGTGCCACTCGCTCTTCCGTCCCTGCGGCTCTGGCTGCTGCCGCCCTGCCAGCCATGGTGCGCCTGTTGCGGCGACGCAAGGCAACGCTACGGCGGATTACCAGGTACCACGGTAGGGTGGGTCAGGGAACCAGCCAGGCTGTTGTGAATGTTGGTCAACCATGGTAACTTAGAAGGTTTGAAGGAGAAGTCAAGTGAATATCTGACTATGGGGATTTGTTGGGATTTGGACCCATGGGTGTTTACCCAGTGGAACAGATTTTTGCAACCCCCATATGCTACGTAGTTTAATTGAACTTTACCAGAAGTGGGTGGTATACAGCATCCGCAACTGGGCTTTAGTATCGGGTTAACCTAATTGCAGCTGTTTGCGTTGTTGGTGATCTACTTTCTCTGGCTGGATTGGTTGGTATCATTGCATTTTAGGGCGTCATTTCTCGGGTCAAAACGTATGGTACCTTGTTTGTTGGGTGTGAACTGGCCATAGCTGTGGGTAGATTTTGCTGCCTCATTCCCCAGTTAGTTTGCTGCCATCAGCACTATGACAAACGCAAATTCCATAAACCATTCCAATATCACCTATATATCACACACATGCATACATGTATGTATATATATATATATATCACATCATATATCATATCATATATATCACATATATATATAATATCACATATATCTTATATATATACATCACCAGAAATGGGTGTCAATTCCATACCAGGTGTGATGATCAAGATCCCCTCAGTGGAGTGCCGGAGTCAGCTTGGCCTTTGCTACAGCGCGCTGAAGAGGTGCCTACAGAGGGATTTTCAGGTCGGGTGATAAACATTTTTCACAGCCTGTTTCGGGGATAAATCTGGCTATTTTTGGGATCTTGCGAATCCTCTCTCCACAATAGAAGATAGTCCTTTGCAATCAGAAAATAATGGCCAGTAATGGTTGCATATGAGTGAATACATTGCAACGGTACATGGGGGTTGTAGATCTTCCCAATGGTTGAGGTACTGCTCTGTACCTATCGATCAATCCGGATAGCCATCGTTCCATAGTTGAGTTGTTCACGCAGGCGCATCCGTCCTTCGGTTGGCAGCAGATCGCGCAAGGAATTCAGGGTTGGCGTTTCTGGGCATCAAGCCTTGCTGCTTTCCACGGTTCTGATTTGATGATGACGTGGGCATGTCTTTTTCAGTGCACAGCAATCCCTCAAAGTTTGTTCCCCTAGAGCTCAGCTGCAGTTCGCCGGCTTGGTTTTTGTCATGGACCACTTTATTGTGGGACAATGAGCACAAATCACATGAAGTCTTTTATCAAGGGAGCAAGAGACATGGTTCTGAGAACGGGTCTAAGGGAATTTTGCAGGAACCTCCCCATATTTCATGGAGGAAGCCAAGCTTTAATGCCATTATTTCGCTTACACCAGGCATGACGGGAAGCCTTGGGCCCGAGGTAAGGCGTTGGAGAATGGACACGTCTGGGAGGAGGCTGGACCTACATTGGTAATATGTCCCTTCTACTACATATATTCTTACCCTCGAAACAATCCTGGATTAGCATTGGATCGATCTGTCTGTCTGTCTGTCTGTCTATCTATCCATCTATCTATCTACCCATCTATCCATCTATCCATCTATCCATCTATCCATCTATCTCTCTCTCTCTCCCTCTTTCTATCTATCTCTCTATCTCTCTATCTCTCTCTCTCTCTCTATCTATCTATCTATCTATCCATCCATCCATCCATCCATCTCTCTCTCTCTCTCTGTCTCTATCTCTCTGTCTATCCTCTCTATCTCTCTCTATCTCTCTCTATCTCGCTCTCTCTCTCTATCTCTCTCTATCTCTCTCTATCTCTCTCTATCTCTCTCTATCTCTCTCTATCTCTCTCTATCTCTCTCTATCTCTCTCTATCTCTCTCTCTATCTCTCTCTCTCTCCTATCCTCTCTATCTCTCTCTATCTCTCTCCTCTATCTCTCTCTATCTCTCTCTCTATCTCTCTCTCTATCCTCTCTACTCTCTCTATCTATCTCTCTCTAGTCTCACATCTCTCTCTATCTCTCTCTATCCTCTCTCTAATCTCTCTCTAAATCTCTCTCTATCTCTCTCTATCTCTCTCTATCTCTCTATCTATCTATCTATCTATCTCTCTATCCATCTATCTATCTATTTTTATTATATCTATCTATCTATCTGTCTATCTATCTATCTATCTGTCTGTCTGTCTGTCTATCTATCTATCTGCCTATCTATCTAATCTAATCTAATCTAAATCTAAATCAAATCAAATCTAATCTAATCTGATCTAATCTAATCTAATCTAATCTATCTAATCTATCTTTCTATCTATCTACCTATACATACATGCATACGTACGTACGTACATACATACGTACATACATACGTACATACATACGTACATACATACGTACATACATACGTTCATACGTACATATACACATTATATATATGTATATTCATTTTAGGTCCTCTGATCGGAGTGCAACTAAGTGCTTGCTAGCAACCTTATTTGGAGAGGTGGAAGTAATCATTTGTAGATGGTCTTCCCATTGAAGCCTTTGATTTTCAGGGATTTCCCCCCATGGCCATGCTGGGATGATGATTTCCATCCAAATTTAACGGTGCCCCACTTTTTGGCAAGCTCCCCAACAGAAGGACCTACTGTACCCGTGATATTGTTATGTTACAACTCCCAGTAGATAGAGGAGGTGGGTTAGAGGCCTGGCGTGGGGCACCGGCGGGGTGTCCGTGTCGATTCTGGCAGGCCACTTGGCCGGAGGAGAGCTTGTGTCAACTGTGGGCGTCTACTCTGGTGGAGTTGGAACTCCCTCGCTTCACCCGCAGGACAGATCTCGTATTTTTGTAGTAAATGGGTATAGCACCCCCAAATAGATGAACCACTTCTCTGGTTTTTTGGGGTAAAAACGCTCCACTCAGGGGATGAACATTAAAGTAAATGGATGGTCTTCCCCTCAAATTTTAACAGTTGAATCACCCAGGAGCTGATAGAAACTGGGAAATCTTGCACGGCAAAGACTTGCCAGAGTTTTTTTTTGGGCCTGCAAAAATACAGGAATCACGACAAGAGCTCGGATTTGACCATCAATAGTTGATTCAATCACAAAACAACTAGCAGTTTTCAACAGTGGAGATCTTCATGGCACGAACACAGCGGGGATCCCAAAAACTTCACCATAGGGATGTCGCTCAGAGTGACACCGATAGGAATCTAAAGGGCAGGAACTAATATGGTTAAGAACAAATTACACCGGCATAGACCCCAGATAGAAAAGGTTGGAACTGATGGTTCCCAACGTGGGAACCAAAGGTCACCATGGCAAGGAACTGCCGGTTCCCAGACCTTGAAACTTACGGTTCCCAACCTGGGAACCAGAGGTTACCATTGCAAGGAATTGCCGGTTCCCAGAAGTTAGAATTTTTGTTTTCGAAGCTAAGCAACTATCATTGCAAGGAACTGCGGATTCCCAAAGTTTGAAACTCATGGTTCCAAACCTGAAAAAGCATACGTTACCAGTGGAAGGATCTGTTGATTCCAAAAAGTTAGAACTCATGGTTCTTAATGTTGTTTTGTTTTGTTAACAGAACCTTTTGTTTTGCTTAATGGACCGGTAGCGGAATGTTCGCATTTGGCTGTTGGGCCGGCATAAAAATGTTTTTGCACCAAAAAGGTGCATGTTAAAATGATATGAAAACAGTTTCTTTACAATTTTATGGTTTTGCTTAATGGACCGGTACAGAACGCTTTGTTTTGCTAATGGACCGGTACCGGAATGTTTGCGTTTGGTTCATGGCAAGGAACTGCCAGTTCCCAAAGGTTGGAACTCACGGTTGCCAACGTGGGAACCAAAGGTTACCATTGCAAGGAACTGCCGGTTCCCAGAGGTTGGAACTCCTGGTTCCCAACCTGGGAACCAAAGGTTACCATTGCAAGCAACTGCCGGTTCCCACCTGGGAACCACAGGTTACCATTGCAAAGAACTTCCAGTCCCTAAAGGTTGGAACTGATGGTTCCCAATGTGGGAACCAAAGGTTACCATGGCAAGGAACTGCCGGTTCCCAGACCTTGAAACTTACGGTTCCCAACCTGGGAACCAGAGGTTACTATTGCAAGGAATTGCCGGTTCCCAGAAGTTAGAATTTAATAGAATTTATGTTTTCGAAGCTAAGCGGCTATCATTGTAAGGAACTGCGGGTTCCCAAAGCTTGAAACTCATGGTTCCAAGCCTGAAAAAGTAACGTTACCAGTGGAAGGATCTGTTGATTGCAAAAAGTTAGACCTCATGGTTCTTAATGTTGTTTTGTTTTGTTTACTGAGCCGGTAACAGAACCTTTTGTTTTGCTTAATGGACCGGTAGCGGAATGTTTGCGTTTGGCTGTTGGGCCGGCATAAAAATGTTTTTGAACGAAAAAGGTGCATGTCAAAATGACATGAAAACAGTTTCTTTACAATTTTATGGTTTTGCTTAATGGACCGGTACAGAACGCTTTGTTTTGCTTAATGGACCGGTACCGGAATGTTTGCGTTTGGTTCATGGCAAGGAACTGCCGGTTCCCAAAGGTTGGAACTCATGGTTGCCAACGTGGGAACCACAGGTTACCAATGCAAGGAACTGCCGGTTCCCAGAGGTTGGAACTCCCTGGTTCCCAACCTGGGAACCATGGGTTACCATTGCAAACAATTGCCGGTTCCCAAAGGTTGGAACTGATAGTTCCCAACCTGGGAACCATAGGTTACCATTGCAAAGAACTTCCGGTTCCTAAAGGTTGGAACTGATGGTTCCCAACGTGGGAACCAAAGGTTACCATGGCAAGGAACCGCCGGTTCCCAGACCTTGAAACTTACGGTTCCCAACCTGGGATACAGAGGTTACCATTGCAAGGAATTGCCGGTTTCCAGAAGTTAGAATTTATGTTTTCGAAGCTAAGCAACTATCATTGTAAGGAATTACCGGTTGCGAAAGCTTGAAACTCATGGTTCCAAACCTGAAAAAGCATACGATTCCAAAAATATCAAAATCATGGTTCTTAATGTTGTTTTGTTTTCTTTACTGAGCCGGTAACAGAACCTTTTTGTTTTGCTTAATGGACCGGTAGCGGAATGTTTGCATTCGGCTGTTGGGCCGGCAAAAAAATGTTTTTGCACGAACAAGGTGCATGTCAAAATGATATGAAAACAGTTTCTTTACAATTCTATGGTTTTGCTTAATGGACCGGTAAAGAACGCTTTGTTTTGCTTAATGGACCGGTACCAGAATGTTTGCGTTTGGTTCATGGCAAGGAACTGCCGGTTCCCAAAGGTTGGAACTCACGGTTGCCAACGTGGGAACCACAGGTTACCATTGCAGGGAACTGCCGGTTCCCAGAGGTTGGAACTCATGGTCCCATGGTTCCCAACCTGGGAACCAGAGGTTACCATTGCAAGCAACTGCCGGTTACCAGAGGTTGGAACTCATGCTTCCCAACCTGGGAACCATAGGTTACCATTGCAAAGAACTTCCAATTCCTAAAGGTTGGAACTGATGGTTCCCAACGTGGGAACCAAAGGTTACCATGACAAGGAACTGCCGGTTCCCAGACCTTGAAACTTGCGGTTCCCAACTTGGGAACCAGAGGTTACTATTGCAAGGAATTGCTGGTTCCCAGAAGTTAGAATTTAATAGAATTTATGTTTTCGAAGCTAAGCGGCTTTTTAAGGAACTGCGGGTTCCCAAAGCTTGAAACTCATGGTTCCAAGCCTGAAAAAGTAACGTTACCAGTGGAAGGATCTGTTGATTGCAAAAAGTTCGAACTCATGGTTCTTAATGTTGTTTTGTTTTGTTTACTGAGCCGGTAACAGAACCTTTTTGTTTTGCTTAATGGACCGGTAGCGGAATGTTTGCATTCGGCTGCTGGGCCGGCATAAAAATGTTTTTGCACGAAAAAGGTGCATGTCAAAATGATATGAAAACAGTTTCTTTACAACTTTATGGTTTTGCTTAATGGACCGGTAAAGAACGCTTTGTTTTGCTTAATGGACCGGTACCAGAATGTTTGCGTTTGGTTCATGGCAAGGAACTGCCGGATTCCAAAGGTTGGAACTCACGCTTGCCAATGTGGGAACCACAGGTTACCATTGCAAGGAACTGCCGGTTCCCAGAGGTTGGAAGTCCTGGTTCCCAACCTGGGAACCAGAGGTTGCCATTGCAAGCAACTGCCGGTTACCAGAGGTTGGAACTCATGCTTCCCAACCTGGGAACCATAGGTTACCATGGCAAAGAACTTCCAATTCCTAAAGGTTGGAACTGATGGTTCCCAACGTGGGAACCAAAGGTTACCATGGCAAGGAACTGCCGGTTCCCAGACCTTGAAACTTACGGTTCCCAACCTGGGAACCAGAGGTTACTATTGCAAGGAATTGCCGGTTCCCAGAAGTTAGAATTTAATAGAATTTATGTTTTCGAAGCTAAGCGGCTTTTTAAGGAACTGCGGGTTCCCAAAGCTTGAAACTCATGGTTCCAAGCCTGAAGAAGTAACGTTACCAGTGGAAGGATCTGTTGATTGCAAAAAGTTCGAACTCATGGTTCTTAATGTTGTTTTGTTTTGTTTACTGAGCCGGTAACAGAACCTTTTTGTTTTGCTTAATGGACCGGACACCCTGCACAGCACCCTGCACAGCACCCTGCACAGCGCCCTGCACAGCTCCCCGCACAGCTCCCTGCACAGCACCCTGCACAGCACCCTGCACAGCACCTTTGCCAGACTTCGCCACTGCAGTCTGGAGAGCACCCTGCACAGCAATTTTGCCAGACTTCGCCACCGCACTCTGGACAACACCCTGCACAGCACCCTGCACAGCACCCTGCACAGCACCTTTGCCAGACTTTGCCACTGCAGTCTGAACAGCACTCTGCACAGCACCCTGCACAGCACCTTTGCCAGACTGCGCCACTGCAGTCTGAAGAGCACTCGCCACTGCAGTCTGGACAGCACCCTGCACAGCACCCTGCACAGCACCCTGCACAGCCCCCCTGCACAGCCCCCCTGCACAGCACCCTGCACAGCACCCTGCACAGCACCTTTGCCAGACTTCGCCACCGCAGTCTCTACAACACCCTGCACAGCACCTTTG